ACTTGTGAGGGGCCCTGCAGAGCTCTGCTTTTCAAGGCTGTGAGAATATTTTGGGATATAAGCAAGTTTGGTGTAATAAGGAAGACCAAGACCTAAACAGGGTGGCCAATGCACGCTGGTTTTCCCACGACTGTCCAGGTTTTAGCACTGAGAGTCTTGCACCCTGAGAAACCCCTCAGTCCTGGGAAACGACAGTGGTTGGTCAACTTTGGGTGGAGCCACAGTTCCTCCAAGATTCCTCAGTGAAGGGAACCCTAAAGGTAGCATTCTGACTTTAGTTCGGAAATTGCATTAGGAAAGAGGACTTAATCAAGAGAATATGAGTGGGAAAGAGATGGGACTCAGGTAAATGCCCAGAAACATCAAGATTGCATTAATCTGTCACCACACTGAGCCTTTTCATTTCCCCACAGCAGGCTGTTTGAGCCCTGAGAGCCCTTACTTGTAGTAAAATGATTAGTTGATTTCTAAGCAGTTTTTAAAATATGATCCTGCTGCTGAAAAGAAGTAACAAAGACATAAGGAGCCAGAGAAGGCTGCAGTTGTCAGATCAGCTTCCAGAAAGACGACTGCCACGTTTCCCTGTGGCAGCAGAGAAAATTTTGGCAGTGAAAGCACTGACTTTTATGAAAATGTCCAAAAATATTGTGCCTTGTGTGACTAATTTTATTGTCTCATTAGCTGCCTCCCCTGAGCTCTCCTCCAAAGAAGTATTACTCATCATCCTCCCCATGGCACACGACCGCTGTGGAGCAGCCCTCATGACTGACGGCCCACACCTGCGTTCCTGCATTTCTACACTATCAAGGGTTCGGTCAAAATTGGAAACCACAAATTTGCAATGGCACCAATTAAGCCCACTTATGTGCTTTCACCAAGGAGAAAGGATTGTCTGGTGGGCCGTGGGCTGAGGACCAGCAGTGACAGTGAAAAAGAGCTTAAAGAGTTACAGGAAATGAGGTTAAAATGATTGACTCCAGGGTCCAGGCTGCAGAGGGAAGGACATGAGGAGCTGAGAAAATGGGAGCTCAGGTACCAGTCAAGGCCACAAGGCGATGGAACACCAAGTTAAGTGGGTGGAAAGTTGTGATGGAAGGCTAGAACACCAAAGTTCAAGGTTTCAGAGACAAGACAATTACAAGTGATTAAACGTCCAGAGTACTAGCATAAAAGTGCATTGCTAAAACTGAAGGAAGAAAAACGTCCTTGAAGTAGATGGCTGAAGGAATTCCTAAGGGGTTGCACAGGTCAATGTGGACACTGAATTTTGCCCAGAATTATGTCAAAAGCACAACGAGCCACGAAGAACTCCATGGGACTTGGAGAACCATCAAGACAGCCCCAACCGTGTCACAAATTTTTACTATGACTCACAACTCTTAGAGAGCAACCCTTAGTTCTGTGTTATGGGGGAAAAAAGATGTATACAGGGAACCTAAATTTGGGGGGTATTTTGACCTAGATATTACCATGTGCAGTGCTCAGAAAACTGCCTTAAATGTCATAAATGCTGAAACAATTACTGCAAATCAATGCGCAAGATTTCCTGGCTTTGGGATGATTGAGCAAAGGCCTCAGGGAGAGGACAGCCAAAGAATTACTTAACTGCTCAAATATCAACAAACCTGATCTCGAAGTGAAGCCAGTCAGTTCAGCCACAGGATAAAAGGAAGTTTATGGAAGAAATGGCTAAATGATCACCATATGAACAGCTTGGAAGCAAAAGGCAGAAGTCTCATCTTTCGTGTGTGCGTGTGCATGTGTTGCTGTTGTTGTCATTGCTGCTGTTGTTCCACAGTTGTCAACACGAGTTTGGGCAGGAAGAGAAGCAAATTCACTTTCTTTAGGCTTGGGTCTTTCAACTTCTCAGGCTGGTCAAGGCAGAATGTCCATGAAGCTGATTCTCCTCAAGAACCACTTACCTTATTTCATGCAATGTGTTCATTTCTCCCGTTATGCCCTTGGGGTAAACATTAACCAAAATTGCAGACATTAAAAGGGGGCTTTTTCCAGAGACTGAGAATCACTGTAACTATTTCCAGGAAGGTTGTCTTAATAAGAATTCCAAACATATATCTGCTGTGTGCCAAGCCCTGTACCAAGTACTTCATGCTCATCAACTTATCTAATCCCCACAGGAAACTTGTGAAGTCGATACTATCATTATCCTTTTTAGATCGATATGGAAACCAGGCATGGAGAATGAAGTAACCTGCTCAAGAGGAAGCCTTGGTTTGAACCTCAGTAGTCGGACTCCAGGGTCCCTGTTCTTAACCACTAAGCCAGTGGTCCTCAAAGGGCAGTCTCCAGCATCACCTGGGAACTTGTTAGAAATTCAAATTCCTGGGCTCCATATCAGAGCTACTGAATCAGGAACCTTGGAGGCAGGGCCTAGCAATTTGCGTTTTAACAAGCCCTCCATGGGACCCTGATGCAGGCTCAGTTTGAGGACCATGACGACCCCCCAGCTCTGCTCTGAAGCAGCCACAAGGTAGCAAAAATGCACAGATAGCTAAGATCACGCTCACAGATGCTCCACCCACATCAGGGGCTCAGAATAGTGCTTGTTTCCAAACTTCTAGATTGAATCTCTACCCTCAGGACCTGAATTCTACTAAAAGGAAGTCACTTAAAAACCCACAGCAGGGCAATGTTCATGGCACAAGCTGTGAGCTGTGAGTCAGGGTAGAAAACACACACTTCCTCCTTACTAGCACGGTTTCCACATCCGCCCATTTCCAGTTTCAGCTGGAAGGGTGTGGCCAACAAGCAGCATGTTTGAAACCATGGAGTGTGGTTCAAGTAAAAAGTCACCCAACTTCTTCAGAGTAGCAACTATAGACGCAGCCAATCCATCTGGCAGAACAACTGCAATTGTCACAGCAGGTGACACTGCCAGATCCTTTCAAATTGTGCATTTCTGTCACTCTGAAAAAGTGACTCTCCACCACTTTCAGTTTCAACAACGTCTTTCCAAACCAAAGGCTGAGGAAGTAACCAGCAGCGTCCACCTCTGGCAAGTGGGATTATGGGAGTATTTTTTCTTCTTACACTTTTATATCCCATGCCTTGACCTGTGTTCTGAACTGCAGACTCATGTATCCAACTGCCCACTCAACATCTATTTAAATGTCTGATAAGCAACTCAAATGTAACACGTAAAAAAATAAACCACCACTCAATTTCCAGCCCCTCTCAACAGAATCCTTCCCCTTTCTTTCCCATCTCAGTTTAAAAAGACAAAACAAAGCAAAACAAAAACCTACCTTACAAGTGGCAAATGCTTGGGCCAAATCTTGTCTTCATTTTTATTCCCTTCCTCTCATAAACCATGTTCAACATGACAGAAATCCTGTTTGGCCAAATATATCCAGAATGGGACCACTTTTCACTAACACCACAAAGCCAATCTGATCCAACCCACCACCTTCTCACCTGGATTACTGTGGTAGTCTCTTTGGTGTCTCTCTTTTTCCACCCTTGACCTCTAACTCTATAGTCCAGAGTAGCCAGAAAAAAACCCTGTTAATACATGAGACAGATCATAGCATTCTACTGATCAAAACTTTATGATGGCTGCCAAGAACCATGAAGTGAATGGCATCTGATTTTACCCTTCTTGCAAGTTAATAAATTAGCCTAATATTGTTTCATGGATGGTGGCAGAAGACACAAGACTCCAGGGTCCAAAACAAGGATTTTATTACTCACAGCCTGGAAAGCAACATGAGCACCCGCATATTCCTTGTATGCATATGCAATGGATTGTGTTATAGGAGAGGAACTCTGAGCTCTAGAAACCGCCACTTTATAGCAAGCACTAAGGAGCCCTGCTCTTCATCCTGGGGGAAGACATCACTTCATCCCTCAAGGTTGCTTATTACAAACACAACCCTGAGAAATGACCTGGGTACAGAGTGGTCAGGGCCTTGCATTCTTGGCATACTTAGCAAGACATGTAGGAGTGCCAGAAGTCAGCGGAGCACAATTTCTCCCAACAGTGGGTTCTCACGTTAATCAGAATGAAAGCCAGGGTCTTTGTAATGATCTACAAGGCCCTACACTATCTGCATTCCACCACGCCCCTGTCCTTCTGTCTTTACAAACTCCTGTCACTCTGCTGACCCCTCACCCCACCTTAGCCGCACTGTCTTCCATGCTGTTCCTCGCACATGCAGGCACACCCCTGCTCGGGACTCCTGGACTTCCTGTTCTTCTGCTGGAATGCTCTTCCCCCAGACATTCTAAGGACCTCGCTCCAATGGCACCTCCTCAGTGAGGCCTTTCCTTTCCCCCATATTTAAAACTCCTACTTCCAAACCTCCTGTCATTCCACAACCCCCTTCCCAGTTTTATTTTTCTGCTTTGCACTTATCACCCTCTGACACACTGTGACACACCATATATAATATATACGTATATATATATATATATATTACATAAAATAAACATATATGAGTATGTCTCTACTCCAAGAGGAGAGGGACCTTATTCTGTTCACTGCTGGACCATCAGAGCCCAAAACCAGTGCTACAGCTCATAGCAGGTGCTCGATAAATGAATTGAATAAATGCTTTTGTAATTTTCTAAAATAATCACTTTTACAATCAGAAAAAATACTGCTTTCTATACACAAGAATTTCCCGAATACAGCAAGTTGTTTATACACCCAAACAACTCAGTCAGACCCCAGCCACGTCCCTGGCTGAGGTAAGAATAGCTAGTAATCGTCAACCAAACATTTACCATAAACCAAGCATTTACCACACGTCGGGCACTTCATAAATTAGCTCATATAATTGTCACAACCTCTTTGTAAGGCATTATCCCAATTTTACTTATGAGAAAACAGGCTCAGTTAAGTAACTTGTCCAAGATCACAGAGCTTATGAACAGTGCACTTGGGATTATGAATGCAGGCAGATCTGGGTAGGGAGGGCCCCTGCTTGAGGCCCTGTGCTTTGGCATGGCTCCCTCAAAATTTCTTTAGCTCCCCTCACGTGCCTGGGACCAATCAGGTCCTGCAGTGCTGTCTGGCAAAGTGCCCTGAGCCCAGACAGAGGACCACGTGGCTCCCTGACCCCAGTTCTCCTGCTCCGAGTGCTCTCCAACTCTCCACCCTGCACTGGGGCCAAGTGCATCCTGAGGAGCTTCAGAACTCAGACTCAGGGGTTCCAGGGGCATGGCCCAGATGTGGGTTCCAGGACAGCAGCCTGGCAAGTGGATCCCTCCTGCTGACCAGGGCAGTACTTCTTTCACAGGATCTCATGAGATTGGGCCACAAGAATGGCTGCCTTGGGTGACTCTTACCCGACTCAAAGGCGAAATCCCAGGCTCAGAGCTGCTAAGGATCCACTTCCAACACTTGGCCTTGAACCACATGTGAGAGCCCTCGCATCATCTCTTGCCTGTCTGTGTTTCAACTATGGCACCACTTCCTGTTTACGGCACCTGAGGACAGTGGGGGCAGTGGTCTTCACTCACACCATCCCTTCCTCAGTGTCTACATCCTGCATCCAGCTGTCCTCTGGGGGCTCTACAGACTGTGACTCTGCAAAGCCAATGGGCCTTCTCATCGCTGTCCTCTCTTGACTGTCCTGGGTCAGTTTTAATCCATGCCAGATAAGGAATGGGCATTTCTTGTGCAAATGGGATGGTTCTTTCTACCCTGCCCTTTGGACTCGCATCTCTCCTCCCCTGTGGTGGCAGTGTGTGGGAGGCACAGGTGGGGTCCACACCAACAAGGATCATGTTCTCAGAATGCAGTCATTGCAACTAACAAGACAAAGAGAAGACCTAGTGGGATAATGTACGGCTCTTGTTTATGCTATGAAATTCCAATCAATCAGTCTAACATGAGCACAAAATGAACTACTGTTCTCACTTTTTTCTGCATATTCTGGGTAAGATTTATATTTGTACTCATCACAAATCTGTATGTGGCACTGAACAGAGCAGAATGATAACACTGAGAGTCACTGGAAGCCAACATTTATGGGAGTCACAGAGGATGAGGCAGCATCATGAGTAATGATGTAAACAGCAATTAAATAAACGATATTAGGGAGCCATGAAAACAAGATGATCTCTATCGTTTCAATACAACCAGGTCCCAAAGAGCCACGGCATTGTGAGCAAAAATAGCGCTGCCACCTTCTTCTCTTGGTGAGAGAATAAACATGACAAGATGGTTCCCAGAACCAAACAAGCAGAGATGGTGTCCGAACATAATAAGAAACCTTCTGGAGCCAACCCTTTATTTAACATCCAGATAAAAATCATCACAATCTGGCCCCCTCCTCTTTGTCATTGGACATCCTTCATTAATATTTTTGTAAAAAAGGTGTTTTTATCTTAGAATTGCCGCAGCCTGTTTCTCCATTGAGATTTCCACAACATTAAATAGCATGATTGCTCTTCTATCCCACGATGCACCTTCCTCTGTACACCCGGCTCCCAGACTCAAACAGTCAGCAGTTTATCTTCGAAGACTTAGATCTCTACTGGCCAACAGCTCTCAGTTCCCCAAATCACTTCCTTTTTCATTTTTTCTACACTGTTTACCAACCTGCTCTCTTCCTTATTTTTTTCTTCTGCGGATAAAAAGCTAATCAGAAACAGAAATTTCATTGCTTTCTACCCACCTTAATCTAGTGTTTCTCACAGCGTAATCTTCCGACTACCTCAATCAAAATCACCACAGGGCTTGTAAAAGGACAGGTTCCTAGGTGCCGCCCAGATCTCCTGAATCAGCCCCTAGGGGAACACAGCCTTTGTCATGCATTTTTAACCAATTTAGGTTGATTCTTTCTAATGATAAAGCTTGATAGCACCAACTTAACCACAAGGAAGAAAACAAAATAACAATAGCGAAAAACTCACCAGTGTTGTCCAACTTTATGATATAAAAAGTCAAGTGCAAAGGCCACTACAGCTATCCAATGTTGCTCCACTCAACGGCAAACGTCAGCTCATAAATACGGCTGTACTAAACACAGGTGTGCGCGCTACCATGTTGCAAGATGGCGGCTGCGCACACGTCGCCCTGCAGCCTGGGAGGTCTTTACTCTCCTTTTGTCTAATTTCTGTGTCGTTCTCAAGCAGACTCCTCAGGAAGCCTCCCCAGCTTCTCCGGCCTTTCCCTGCAGCTGTCCGGGCTCCTTGGGGGTCACACTTGGCTCACGCCTCCTTTTATAGTAGTGATCACACTGTATTTCTAATTATTACTTAGGGGACTGTCTTCTCCTCCAAACTGTGAAGTTCTTCAGAGCTGAGATAGCTTTTTATCTCCAACAACTTGTCACTGTATTTGGCCCATACTAACTGCTCAATAAATATTTGTTGCGTTAACAAATAGACAAGAAAATCAAGAGGCAAAGATGGGAATGATTTGGCAAAGTTATAAAGGAAGCGCTTTAAACCATCTAAATGCTGCTTCAGAAGGAAAAATCTTATTTGCATCCACCCCCACAATTTATTGCTTTCTTATGGAAAATATGTGCTGTGCTCAAAGTCAAAGGAGCTTTAATGCAGGTCAGAACTTCCCTCACAATCCTTTGGAAGTAACGCGGACAATGAGGAGATGGTGAAATATTGTTACATTATAAATGAGGCTAAAAATACACGCATGATGTCATTTAGTGTTTGGTTTTCCAAGAACCAAAACCATCCATCTGCAGCGTTTAAACTTACCATCCCCTCTTTCAACCTGTTCAGCTGAGCTATGTATGAAACACTCCAGTTTACCCCTTCGAGCAACGCGAGCAGGTGCAGCATCCCTTCGTTGAGAGCATTTGAGGTCAGACCACAGAGAGGTGGCTGTCTGTGGAAACCAGATGACCGATGGGGGCAGCTGGAGGAGCCACAGGAGGGTAAAGAGCATCACTTGGTCCTCCTGTGACTTCTCTTCATGCTGACCTTGCTTCTCCTGAGCTAAGGCCTGGGGTAGCTCCTGTCCCCCTCCGCAGTCAGCCGGTTCTTCCCCTCCATCTGTTCTCAAGCCCCACCCCAGCAGCCATCTTTAACCAAAGAGCATTTTGGTTTTGGAGTATCCTAAAAATGAAGATGCTCTTTTAAATAAAATGCTTTATAAGTAACTGTCAAGGAAAAAAAAATTAATCAAAAGGAACACCAAAAACTTAAAACAACTGGAGTTGTTTCCATGTGGAGTTAATGCTCTCTGAATTTTCTTCTAACTTCCTTCAGAGAGTTCAGATCACCATCTTCCAGGGTCAAGGGAAAGCCTGACACTGTCCAAAGAAATTGTCCCTCAACCAGTCCCTTTGTGCCCCACAGTCCACACTTAGATGTTCACTTGTCGGTTTAAAACTTTCGTGGACTTGTTTATTTAAAAATCTCTAGTAGTGTTTATGTATCATCACCTCATAGGGACACTGTAGAGTGAAGACATTTGTCAGTTCTATTTCAGAGACCGAAGACATCGGCGATGGTGGCAGGGGTGAGTAGAGGACGGGGATGGAAAGCAGTGTGGAGGGCTATCTAGGCTGCCTGGGGTGAGGGGAGTGAGAGTCTTCAGGCTGATCCCGTTTACTCACAATTTCCCCGTCTGGTCCTACTCAGAGTCTGTGCCAAAAGCACGGCTTTTCACCACATGTTCTTCCATTCCCTTGGCTAGCAACAGCCCACAAATGTCAAAGCGCTTTTGGTATTCTTTAATATCTTAATGGTCTTTAAAGTTGTTTTTTATTAAGTGTGGCATATGAGTGCAAGTTGGGACCAGAGACTTAAAGTCGTGATGGGCATTCTCAGTGAATTCAGAACAGGATTGGCAAAGACAATAAAAAAGGAGCAAGAAAAGATGATGATACCTCACTGGGGTGACAGCTGAGCTTTTCCTGTCACAGCTGTGCACAGGTTCAGGGGTTCCCACCGAAATAAACTCTGCCAACCACACGTGTCCACAGGCAGAAGAGGGGAGCATGACTTAGATTCATTTTGATCCAGTTGCTAATAGTTCCAGCAAAGGCTCCAGCGTAAATGATTCACTTATCCACACTTCCCTTTGCCCAGCATCAGGAATACATTCTGCAAGTGAAGACTTTGAACATTTAACTTGCTGCCCCTCAGAAGCCTTTCCACAGTTCTTCTCCCTTGCAACCCTCGGTCCCAGCACCTAATTCCTTCCTTCCGCCTCCTCATTATTGCAGCTGGTACTTTAAGCCTCTTTATTATCCACCAATTATCTGACCAAAACACTGAGTATGGTGAAGATTAAGTTCCTCTGAAACAGTTCAAAACACTGCACATAGAACTTAATTAGGCTGCTAACTACTTGGCATGCCTACCATCCTCAAGATACTGCAGATGGAGGGAGCAGGGACTTAGGGGCTAGCGAGCAGTTTACAGACTAGCAGGAAATGACAGCCCAGGGAGAGAAGATGAGGCCGTGTGGTTTGCTGCTGAAGAGGAATGAAGCACTGTAGGAGCACCAGGGAGGAGGTGCTATTTCTGTCTAAAAGGAGAAAGGAAGTCCTCATAAAGGAGGGAGAGGGTGGCCAATGGAAATAACCCCTGGTTTTGAACTCCACTGCCTTGAATGATAATTATAAAGCATACTAATGAACCAGATTCTCCTCTACATAGAAATTTTAACAGAACATTAAATGTCAGAGCCAGGTTACCTAATCCACTATATGACGACTATTTTTGCTATGTCCTAATAACTGTTAATAACAGATACCACCTCTCGGAAAGGCAGTGTTGGAGTTAAATGCCACAGAGGGTGAGTCAGAAGGCAGTATACAAGTAAACCTGGTGCACTGATGCAACAGCAGCATCTTTGAAAAGATGTCCCAACATCAAAGTCAAGTACCAAGATAGCAGAGGCAGCTGGGTGTCCTGGGAAGGGCACACGGGGGCTTCGTGCAGGGAGAGACCTGAGTTTGAATCCCAGCTCTGCCACTTGTCAGTCCTACGACCTTTGATTCCGATCCTTTATCTTCTTCTCAAAGTTTTTAGCTCTTTTCTCCTGGTAGAGAAATGCTATGTAGACCTTACGAGTGTGCATACCTAAATACTTAAATGCAGTTCCTGAAAAAAGTCACTGTTTAGTCCCAAATAATTTTGCTAATTTCTTTTATTACAAAATCAATCTCCCCCTCTCTTACTGTATTATATAAGCTACAGTTCTATGCACAGGCTTGTAATCCTACTGAGTGAAAATT